AAGAAAAAAAACAACAAAAGAGGATGGTGGGTTGGGTAGGAAACCAACCCACAATATCTTGTTTAACTGCATAGCAAAAGAAGCTCCACCCAACTTAATTTAATATAAATGAAAGTACTAACTCTATTCATAATATGAAAGCATAGATTCCAAGTTGAATTTTGAATTGATTTAGATTAAATTAAAGGTTTGTTTGAGAGAGATTTCTAACTACTTTGCTTTTCCAATAACAGCCACAATTTTATTTTTTTGGGATATTTGGTCAATTATGACAAACTCATACATACATCGCATATAAAAGATTTGAACCAAAGACATCTTGGTTCGTAAACAAAGCTTCCAACCAACAAAACAAAGATGAGCTGCGTAAAAGTCACAACTATATTTGACTATTATTTTCTTGCTGCTTTCTCATTACTTTTCATATATTTTTATGGTGAAAATTTATTTTTTGCAACAATATTAGATAATTACTTTGTCCACAATAAACTTGCAACCAATTTTATAAAAAGTTGAAGCCGTCACAAATAGATTCATAACTAATCTTTTAAATATTATCTAATTACTACTCATGCTTACTTTCAATATAAAAGTATTTATATATATATTCATAAAACATATTTGATGTGTCACAAAAAAATTATCTTAATCGAGGAAAAATCCCGATGCAAATATGAGTCAGAACCTTCCAAAATTTATTTTTGGGACCATCCAAACTCCAATTTCCAGCTAACCTATTGCCAAGTTGAACATTTCAGAGAGACGAACCCGATGACACCAAATTCCGTCCCATCCGAGCCCAAATGAAGGAAAATATATTTGAAAGCTTCATAGTATCAATTAGATGACAAAATGATATTTGAATATAACATGCTTATAGTAGGTAAACAGGCCGAATATTCGAACCCGGACCCGACCCGGCGGGTTGCCGGGTTGACCCGACCCAACACGGGAAGGAGCGAGCGCGACTTTAAATATTTAGGGTATGTTCGCTACTATTTTCTAGCCGCTTTTAAAAAAAGTAATTTTTCCCACAACAGTTTTATAAACACTTCTATAAAAAACTTCAGCCGTCCCAAATAGACCACTAATAAGATTAACTTTGGATAGATAAAGTTAAACGAGTTGCCCATTTAAAAGTTTGGTAATTTTAAAGTAAATCAAATTAGAATGATAATTAATTTAAATGAATTGAGCTTGAAGACTATTTGAAAAACTCGAATCAAGTTCAAGCCGAGCTATAACTCATTTTGGTGAAAAAGCTCGAATAACCTCGTGCTCGGTTCTATTTGGCTCATTTGCAAACCTAATCCACTCCGACAAAGACCCAAAGTGTAGAAATTTATAAGCCTAGCATCCGACAGCTTATGCATTTCCTACTATTCAACACATTACAAAACTCACAGTGACTGAAAAATAGAACCTTAATCATTGTATATTGCAAAAGTATGTAGATAATTACAGCATGAGTATATATATCTATTAACTAAATTCCAAGTTCCGCTCCATCCTACTTACAGATCAAATTCTCTCTATAGTTCTTCCCAAGGATTTCAATCTTAGGCGCATAGCATTTCTTGATAGATTGATCTTTGATCTCATTGACATGGAACACGCTACAATTACGTGCAAAAAAGTACTGAAAAGTGTGCAATTACATCGAAAAATATGAATATGCCGTGCAAATGCTTTGAAATACGAGAAAATGAGTCACATTAGTGTATTAAAAATCATGCTAATATATATTTGAAACATTTGAGTCATTAAGTCAAATTCACACGCACATTACATATGCAATCTCAAACCTAAGACCTCTTAATTAGTAGCCAAAACCTTCAACCAACCAAAAATTATTACATGCGGAGTCCGGACTTCCGTACGTAAAGCTACATCTGGACTTGCTACATCCAGACTCCAATCAAATGATAACACGTGGTAAATACACTGTGTACTAGCTGTGTACGTATTGTCCAATACACAATGTGTATTTGCCAATACACAACTAGTACACAGTGCATTGGCTATGTGTTGTCATTTGATTAGAGTTCTGATGTAGTTCTAGGTCCGAGCTCCACACGTTATAATTTCTCCCAACCAACAAACTAAGACGAGCTGTGTAATATAATGAAAACAAGCAAACTCACATTGCAAGTGCATTGAATAGTATGCATATGTATTGAAAAATGTGCAAAATATTTAAATTGCCCGCATGTGCTCCACCAAATTTTCTAAATATGTAAATGTAAGAATAATGAGTGAAGTTAAAAGCCATATTGTTCTTGAGAATGGCATTCTTCAAAGGAAAAAAAAAATTTATACATCTATGAATTGAAAAACATTAGATAAATAATATGAAGAGTTTATACTTTATACTATATAACTAATTTATAAAACTTGTTCTGGTAAAAATTTGTTCTAAATATATTGACCTAATTTTTTGTGTCATAAATTTAAGCCAATCATTTCATATTTTATTTCTCATTTCATATTTTAAGATCAAATAAATGAATACAATGGGCTTGATTATCACATTGATGAGCCCATCTATTTATAATGACAATTGGGCCGAAGATGATCATGATCTTTTTACCAAGTCCGGTTCTTATAACCTTATAGTTTTATTTTGCTTATAAACTGCTAATCACAGAAGCTTTGTAATGCTTTCATTCTAGTATATTTAACAAATCCATGGACACAATTGGGGGATTAGTCATACCAAAAGGCACAATTAAGAGCTTATAGTGGCTATAATAGATACTAAGATTTTGTTTAGAACAACTTTCTTATCACTTAATAAAGATGTTCTTAGTAAATTTTTTTTTAATTTAAAATTTTTGTACTAAAAAGCTACTTCATAAAGCAGTAAGAAAGCTATCTCAAACGAAGTCTAAATCATATCTTTTCCACGATCTCCTCCTTTACCCTTAATTGATCAGACCTACATCTCAATTCTATTTTTAAAAACATTGATGCATCCACTGACTCGTAAAATAAATCACCAATTTTGAATAGTGAATACTTATTCTTCTTGAGCATCTTATTCAATTTTATATAATCAATACATATATTCATAATGTCATCCTTCTTTCTCACAAACAATACATGTGCATACTATGAAAATATACTTGGGCCTACTAAAACCTTTGTCTAGTAACACTAGTAATAGTACCTTCAACTCATGCAACTCTTTATATGCCATTTTTTAACGGGTCTTCACAATAGAAAATATACCACGCTTTATCTAAATATAGAACTCCACCTTTCTCTCAAGAGATAATTTTACTAACTCCTAAATGAGCACATAGGAAAACTTTCTCGTCATAAGGACAGTCTCAACTAAACTAGTGAATGTTTTGCCATCTGTCACAAAGATAAAAAAAAAAAGCAACACTCCCTTCCTCCACAACCAATTAACTTGTAGGGTTGATATAAATGATGGAAAGATAAATTCAATATATACTAATAAAATATATACCATTTACATTTTGAAAATAAAACATCTTACCACAAATTCATATTGATATTTTATTTCAATTACATTCATTATATGCTCCACATCTACTTAACTAAAATATACCCAATATATTAACAAACTTGGTCAAAAATAATATAATAAACTTAGACTCCAACTTTCTATATGAGATCTCAATCTCACAAATAATAAACAAACTAGATGATAAAGCAACATGTGACTAGCTATAGAATTGAATAAAATTGCTTTTTCATAAGTGGAAACTATATCTATCACAATATCATGTTTATCATTGACCTCTTGTTGAATCAAGCTCTACACTCTAGATTGTGTTGGTGCACAAACAATTAGAGCAACATGCTCAAACTATCTCTCACTCATATCAAAATAAAAAGTAAAAATGATGGCACTTCTCATGTGATGTGTTAATTAGCTATGTGATATACCTACAAATGATAATACACAGCTTTATATTGCATCATTATCTTACTCTCTTGAACTAACTTATAAAAGACTCCTACATTTGTTGTCAGATGGATGGTGGTGCAAATATATCTTTGAAAGTCTCAAAGAACTCTTCCCAAGTTATTTTAGCATTTATCATAACTTAAAACTTCTTCTATATTGACCCAACCACCATCCTTTAACCTCACCATCTTACAAAAACACTGATAGGATAGTTTAGGATTCTTTGCACGATGCATGTTATCAAAAGACTTACCAAATATTAACAACCAACCCTCAACTATCTAAGACTCCACTCCACTCTTAAAATGAGGCAATCTAAAGAACAATTAGAAATGTTTATATCCCTCATCCACTCTTGAAGTAGACATCCTAATATATCCATCATCCATCAATTGGGCAACTAAGCTAACAAACAATATCATGGAATCTAACATCATAGCTTCTATTGTGCTCCGTATTATCATAACCAACTTGAACTTTGTCATCTATCATGTCGTTCTCTTGATAATTAATAAATACCAATTACAACAACCACATATGAGTAATCAAACACAATAACTTATGACTGTATACATGCATATAATAATAGAAAAGAAAATCATCTTAAGTTATCCAATTTATATCACTTAGGATTAATCAATCATATAGATCTGCATAAAGTGAAAATTTTTATTTAAAATTATTAAATTTATATTAAAAATGCTATCATAACCTAAGCAGACACAACCCTTATATTAAAACGGGTAATATCATGTTGGATACAAATAAGAGATTTCTCAAGATCTATTTGAAATGAATTTTCTTTTTCTTTAATATTTATAGGTATCGAATCATCTTTTACTATAAAATACATAATAGATGAAAAATAAAATATCTTTTCATTTATAGGATTAAAATACACAATAAAAACAAGGATATAATATTATTATGATATTTAATGTATGAAAATTTTTATTTTTTAAATTTTTAGTCCCGTGCATTTAATGCACGGGCATTTTTACTAGTATATATATATATATACATTTCAAATACATGTAATTATTTTGTATTAAATTTAACAAGCCAAGGTAATATTTTGCCCGCAATTTCCATTCTCGTTCTCTGTGTCTCTCTCTTTCTCTCCAGATGACATAAAATTAGCAGCTTAGCATGGCCATCAACGCCCATCTTCTCTTCAAAACCGCAATCAAAACACCCTAATTTCACTAATATACCAATCCCCGCCAATCCTCCCCGTGCGCGCCTCTATGGATTCAGTGACGGTTGAAACTAACGATGGTGTGGAGCTGAGCGCTAGACTCTTCAAGCCGGCCGACCTGAGGATCAGCGACTACGTGGTGGTGCTTGTGCACCCCTTCACAGTTCTCGGTGGGTTCCAGGGACTTCTTCGGGGGATCGCATCGGGACTCGCCGAGAGAGGGTTTTGCGCGGTAACCTTCGATATGAGGGGCGCCGGTCGTTCCTCTGGCCGGCCATCTCTTACCGGATTTACTGAGATTGGGGACGTCGTCGCCGTGTGCAAGTGGGTTTCGGATACCCTTTCTCCTCGCGGTATCGTTCTTGTGGGTTCTTCAGCAGGTAAAAGATTGCATCTTTTCCAAGAACGTATAATCTTTAATATTATAAAACTTCAAGCTGAACCACTATTAGCTGCCATTTATTGATGTTAAAATAGAGACTATCTATCTTATGAGATAGGATTGCAGAATGATGATTCCTGTTGAGCAGTGGTCCGGTTTTAGATTAGCTTGATCCACAAGCTATCACATTAATTGTAAATGCCCTTTAATGAATAGGCATTGTAGGACGATGATAGAAGCCCCTTGTAATAAGCCCTTTAATGAATAAATCTCTCCCTCTCCCATTCTCTATCCCTCTATTCTCTTTGGAAAGCTGTTCTTGCAATAGAACAACGAAATCAAGAAGCTCAAGCTTCATTGAAGAAAATAACAAGTGATATCAGAGGCTCGTTGAGGCGATCTCGAGGAAAGAGGAAGGTTCTTGCAGTCCAAAAAGAGAGGGGAGGCGAAAGACAGGCTTTTGGGTGAGCGAGCAAGCGACGTGGGGTCAGGAGGCTTGAAGTTGGTGCCGTGCGGGAAGCGTGAGCGTGGGATTGGGGCCAGGTTGCAAGTGCGGGCATGCGGTGGGCAGGCTAGGTCACGCAGGATGCAAGTTGAACTGCAGTTTTGCGACAGGCGGGCTCGAAGCAAGGCTGTCGCGCGAAGGTTGGTACGAGTCACGGGATAGAGTGGAGGTCTTCTGGCTTGGTGCTTCATGTATTCAAGAAAGGGAGCTAGAGTGCAAGTGATTGGACTGCGGAGCAGAAGCATGGCCTGGTGCGCAAGCCTGCAAGATCTTGTAATCGAGAAGGGTGTTGGGCTTAAGTGGGCTAAATCGTGCAGAGACGGATGTTCGGGAGCCGTGTGTAGACGACGGAGAGGAGGGTCCCAGGCGGTTGGGCCGAGTGTGCGGAGGCGGATTGAGGTAGTGTGCTTGGAGACAAATGATAGCACAACGAATTCAAGCCGTGTAGGCGTTCAGTAGGAGCTGAATACCACCGGGTGAACATCAATATTTGTTTTTATGTTTTCTTGAACAGAAAGACCACCTGTATGGGCCGGGTGTTGCTTGTGCGGAAGGGGGGAAGAAACAGAGGGCTAGACGAATGTGCAGTTTTGCATGTGGGATGGACTTCAGATGGAGTCTAGGAAGCAAAGGGGTTGTTGTGTGTCTAAGCAGTAGATCAAAAGCAGCAAGATCAAGAATTGGTGGCTTGTGCGAAGTTGTAGGTTGGAGTGCGCACGGGTGCTGGGGGGAAGACTGGCGAGTCGGAGGATGCTCGATGCTAGAGCGCGGGCGTGCCACGCAGAAGCATATGTGTGGGCCAGAAGCATGCAGGAGCAGGCAATGCACAAAGCAAGACATGCATATCACATGAAGAACAATGACGGGTGTAGGCATGCGTGATTTAGATCGCGCTGGAGCGCAAGCTGGAGGCATGGATCGAGATGCACAGTGAAGTCTAGGCGTGAGCATGATTGGGCTCGGTTCGACGGGTTTGTTCGTGGAGTTAGTGCTGGGAGCCGATTAGATCGCAATAAGTGCACAGATGGTTCTTTGATCGTAAAATCATACCAAGGTGGAGATTCTTGTGTAGGTTGAACTGCAAGCTATCACACTAATTATAAATGCCTATAAATAGACATTGTAGGATGATGGTAGAAGCCCCTTGTAATAAGCCCTTTATAATGAATAAAGCTCTCTCTCTCTCTCTCTCTCTCTCTCCCATTCTCTATTCCTCTCTTCTCTTTGGAAAGCTGTTCTTGCAACATAACAGGGAAATCAAGAACCTCAAGCTTCCTCCAAGAACATAACAATTCCTGTGCTAAGTTTATTAGGATTCTTTCATATCTGTTGTTTCTATGCTTGTTTATAAATATTTTTTACATATTTAATATGCTCTTTTTTATTGTTGTTAGTATTTAGTAACACTCATTTAGGGGCTGTTTAATTGCAAATATTTAGAATACATGCATTTTGAGAATGCAGTTTGCAGAAAATACAATAAATAGAGTGGGTTTTGATTTCTTGGTTGTTTGATTTGTTGTCAAATGAATGCATGTAAGTAATTTTCTTGTATTTGGTTGTCTGTCAAGTAATTTTTTAATGCATCATATCTGCCAAAATATATCCCAAGAAATACCTTTAACATGTTTAAGATGCTCTTTTAATTGCTGTTATTAACACTCTTTTAGGGGATTTTGATTGCAAATATTTAGGATACATGCATTTTGAGAATGCAGTGTGCCTTAAATACAATAAATAGAGTGGATTTTGATTTCTTGGTTGTTTTATTTCTGTTAAATCAATGCATGTGAGTCATTTTATTGTATTTTGTTGTCTGTCTACTAATTTTTTAATACATCATATTTGTCAAAATATATCCGAAGAACTATCATTATACCATTAGTATCCACTTGAAAGAAATACAATTATTTATTGACAAACAATTGCTATCATTATGCTAAAGCAAAATCAATGTATGCTTAACAAACTGCAGTGAAATAATACGTGACAAATAAGAAATATGAACAGCAATCTAACTACAATAGGCTTCTCTTCATTTTCTATGATATCCTCTGATAAGCAAATTTGAGAAGGTAAAAGGGTGCCCATTAGAAAACTAGGGTTCTTCTTTGCCTAGATGAGGTTCTTGCAGAAGAGGGATTTCTAATGGTGTTTGTTTTCTTACAGAAAGAAAGGATCATTAATGGAGTTTGCAAGTGTATATAGTGAAATATAGAAAATGGTTCGATTGAATTTCTTGGATTTGCTTGAAGAAAATGAAAAAAATGAGGAAAGAACATTAAGGAGTCTAAGATTTTTGGATTACAATGAGTGTTAATATGTAAAAGAAAAAATAAAAAAATGTGTGATTCTGTAAAAAAATGGAGTCTTTTGTGTGGTGTTGGTGGAGATTTAAAACAACTGATAATGATATTTATCAAAAATCAATCCATCCAAAAGGGCGCTTAGGTTTGCTACCTAATGAAGAAAAAATGTGGGACGAAAAGAGATGCAGATGACTAAGTATTAGAGCTGGAGTGTGGTCACTGATGGGGACATAGGCACATGATAGCGGAGGGTATTGCTGACGGGGATAGAGATGATGTCACGTGGGAGCAAGGTTGTGAGCAAAGGGGTTGGGGACAATGATGCATTTGGAATTTAGTCAATTTAGGTGGATTTGGCATTCATAGAAATTGTGGCTTTTGAAATATTCCAAATTCCCAACAAAACATAATTTGCATTGGTTCTACTTTATACCCAACATGTGAAAAATTAGAAAACATGTATTCATTTTACTTAACACTCCAAATACTTGCAACTAAGAAACCCTTAGTAGATTTCACTGCACTTAACAAGTTTCTTTATTTCACCTCTTAAATTTTCTAAATATTATATAATTTCTTGTTGATAAATATATGAATGTTCATGGCCATGTTCTCGTAATACTTAAGTAGACACTATTGTTTCTTTGTCATTGAAATGCCTGGATCTTTATTGATGTGTAATCTTAATAGAGTGTTTTTTTTTGTCTGTTTTTAATCCGTTTTTAACTTTGTCGTTGCTAGGTTCCAAGTCCTGGATGAAAAATGTGGAGGGTTGCGTTAGGTAGTCAATAGATAGGTAAAACTTGTCGAATAATCATGGCATGAATCTTTTAATACCTTGTATTAATGCTAGGACATTCCCTGGAAGTGACATATTGTATGGTCTGAAAACAACGACAAGTGTGCAAGGGCTGTTGCACTGGCGCCCGAATAAGAACTTGGAATGGATATAGGCAAAGAAGCTAGTCCATGAAATTATTAGGATAGAAACTTGGAATATATGTTAATTTTGGAATGACCTAGAAGAATTAATACAAAATATACATTTTGAAATTTTTTTTTATTGGATGAGATTTAAATGGACATGGTAGAGAGGTAAATGATTTTAAAGCATTCATGATGGCTATGACTTTGGAGTGAAATGAAGGTGGTAAGACCATATTAGATTTTTTTTAGCTTATGATTTTATAATTGCTAATATCTTATTTAAGAAAAGAGATAAGCATCTCATCACTTATAAGAATGTGTATATTAAAACTCATATTGATTATTTTCTTATAAAAATTATATCATTTAGATTGCAAAGATTGTAAAGTTATTCCGAATGTAACTTTATGTACTAATATCGCTTATTAGTTTTTGGACATTAAGATGAAGGGCAAAAAAAAAAAAAAAAAAATCGTTGTTTTAGGATAGATGAGGATATTTAAAGAATATTAACAAAAATATTTTGAGTGTAATATTCTAGATCTTAAAATTTTGTCTGTGCATGACGAAGCTAATATTATGTGGAAAAAAGTAGATAGTGATATTAAGAATGTTGTAAAAGATGTGCTTAGAGTATCAAAGAAAAAAGCTACTAATAGTAAAAAATATTTGGTGTCGGAATCAAAATGTGCAAGAAAAGATAAAAAAAAAGAAGATATGCTATAAAAATTGGTTTAGCTGTAAAAATTCTAGTAACTGGAAAATATATAAAGAGGCTCGTAAGGAGTCTAAAAAAGCAATATGCAATACAAAAATTTTAGCTTTTAATGATTTTTATAATTGAATTAGATACTAAGGAGGGGAAAGATATATGTATAAGTTAGCTAAATAAAGAAATAGGTGTAGTAAATATTTAGTTCAAGTGAATTGTATTAAAGATAAAGATAAAAAAGTGCTTTTATTGGAAGAGAATATTCAACAAAGGTGGATGAGATATTTTGCTATACTTTTTAATGAAAATTGTGAGAATGCGATTGACTTTATTGACCTTAGTATTCTAAATGAAAATAAAAATTTTTGTTTTTATCAGCATATTAGTAAAACCATAGTTAAAGAGGGTTTAAAGAAAATGAAGTGTGAAAAAGTTATTGGACCTGATGATATTCCAATAGAGGTGTGGAAATGCTTGGGAGATGAAGGAATTTCTTGGCTTACTAAATTTTTTAATATGATTTTGAAGACTAAAAAGATGCTAGA